AGATAGATAGAAGATAGGATAGATGATAGGTATAATAGATTAAAAGATGACAGATAAATAGATAGATATACAGGTAAACAAATGAGACATGAGATGAGAGAGAGAGAGATTAGATGGATAGATTGATTGATTGATAGACACAGGATAGATAAATAGATGGCAGACAGATAGATAGAAGATAGACAGATAGGTAGATGATAGATATAATACATTACCCCTCACACCCCTCACACCCCTCACATGAACTGTTTCGACTCCTTCCCTCAAAACGATGCTATAGAGCCCTGCACTCCAGAACAATTAGACACAAGGGGAGTTTTTTCCCAACGCCATCCCTCTGCTAAACAAATCATTCCCTCAACAAGTCTGCTCTACTATTACTATTAATCTTCTCATCACTCCTTATCACCCATCTCCTCCCACTTATGAATGTATGACTGTAACTTTGTTGCTTGAATCCTTACAATTTATATTGACTGTTTCTTAGTATGATGTGATTGCTTATTTGTACTCCATGACTACCATTAAGTGTTGTACCTGATGATTCTGGACTCTTGACGAATGTCTTCTTTTCTTTTATGGACACTGAGAGCATTTGCACCAAAGACAAATTCCTTGTGTGTCCAATCACACTTGGCCAATAAAGAATTCTATTCTTCCTTCCTTCCTTCCTTCCTTCCTTCCTTCCTTCCTTCCTTCCTTCCTTCCTTCCTTCCTTCCTTCCTTTCATCTATTTATCTGTTTTGCTTATTGTACCCCATGACTATCATTAAGTGTTGTACCTGATGACTCTTGACGAATGTCTCTTTTCTTTTATGTACAGTGAGAGCATTTGCACCAAAGACAAATTCCTTGTGTCCAATCACACTTGGCTGATAAAGAATTCTTATTCTTATTCTATTCTATTCTATTCTATTCTATTCTCTCCTATTCTATTCTAGATTAAAAGATGATAGATAGATATGAATGAATGAATGGAGTTGCTCAAGGTATTTGCAGGGGCTCCGTTCCTCACTCCCCACCGCCTGGATCAGGGGCAGATCTGGGAGGCCCGCAGTCTCAGTGGGGCAGAGGGAGGGAGGGAGAGAGAGAGAGACCCCCTCCCACTGCAGATCTACTCCAACTCTTGGGTGAAAGTTCTTTGCAAATCATCTCTCACTGGGGATGGCTGCAACAGTTTGGATTGTGCTAGTCGCTGTGTGACTCAGTTGGTCTGTGAGTGTAATTGAGCTTTGATGGGTTTCTCCATCCGTGGGCTGTGCGTGCAGGACCCCCAGCCACCCTTTGGCTGACTCACGGGATGTTGCAAGGAGAAACCCCACACACACACACACACACTCGGTTCTGCTCCTAGGAGAATGAGGAAGGCCCTGGACACACTCAGGAATGGTTGAGACGAAAAGGGAGGGGGCACAGCTGGGCTTCCCCTTCCTCCTGAGCAGGGAGGGGCTGGTCCCACCTGGGAGTTGGGGGGCAGAATCACACTTTGGGGTCCTTGATGCAGACGGTTCTTTAGGGAACTAGGTAACACCAGGGCACTGATGATGTTCCCTAGTTGGGTCATGAAACGTCTGCAAGAAAGCAACCAAGCTCAGAAAGCACCAAAGACCCATAATTGTCCTCCTCTTCTTCCTCCTCCTCCTCCTCAATGTGAGGCCCCTCCCTTCTAGCACTGATGATGTTTCCTCCTTGGGTCATGAAACGTCTGCAAGAAAACCACCAAGCTCAGAGAACACCAAGGACCCCACAGTTTCAACCCTGAGCTACAAATATTTTCTTCTATTTGTAAGAATCACACTGCCCCCCCTCCCCAACCACTCAGTTCTACCCTCTGACAAACTCTGCAGTGGCCCCAAAGTGACCATCCCCCCCCCTCCTCCTCCTCCTCCTCCTCCTCCGGGAAGGGTGATCCTTGGGGAGGTGAGGGGGAGGTCCAGAGGAAAAGGCCCCTTGCAAATGGCTAGTGAGGGATGGGGGGGAGCCCTAGGGACGTTTCTTCAGTGACAACTAAGTGCCATCTCTTTAAATTGGAGGGGAGGGGGTTTGAGAGCTTCACACGCGCACGCGTGTGTGTGTGTGTGTGTGTGTGTGTGTGTGAGAGAGAGAGAGAGAG